ATTAGTAGCAACTCAGCAGCGAGCAGACGCCGACTAAAAAGACTGGTTGGTCCAAAACTTTTCTCATATCCACCTGGATTATCGACACGTCACTACTCCACTTTTATCTAAAACACCAAAAAAAAAATTGTTCAAAAAAGAAATAATAATATCTTAGTATTATATGATGCTATGATGATGTAATTATAACGTCATTATTAGTACACACGAAAGATTCTTAAGTATTTATCAAAAAGTGATTTTTGGAAAACTTTTCAAGATAGAGGAGTAATGTTTCTACTTAATTACATGAACTATAGTATCACTAATTTAATTTCTTGTTAATAACATATATCATAAGACGAACAATGTTATATAGGAATGAATGTTGAACTTATAATGCCCAACACGTTTACAAGATAAGTGGTTAAAATAGCACGGTCTAGCCAGTTTTCGGATTGGTTATTCAAAAATAGCCAGTGTTTACCAAGTCAATAAAAAATAGCCACTATTTTACTGCAATAGAGACCGGTCCAGCATAATATACTGGAGTTCGGTGCACCTGTGTATGAACTTCCAACATATTATGCTGGACCGGTATACTTTACTGGCTCCAGTATAATATACTGGAGACTGAAGCACCGGTGCTCCAAACTCCAGTATATTATGTTGGACCGGTATATTATACTGAAACTCTAGTATATTATGCTGGAGTATTTTTCCGAATTTTGAACAGTGTTTTCGTTCAGATTTATCTTTACATGAAAAATGGCTAAATTTCGATTACCTTTGAAATTGTGACTATTTCTGAATGACCACTTGTAAATCTAGCTATTTTTGAATATCTCCTAGATAAGTATTGCTTCTTGCAAGGACATAAATGGTGAAATGAATTAAAAACTGAACTGATCAAAGATTCTCATTTGTAATCACGGGCGGAGCTAGCCTATTAAATAAGGATTCATCCGAACTCATTATCTTTGTTTAAAATTTTATATTTGTATTAAAAAATCTAGTAAATATAATCGGTCTTTTAAATTTGATGATCTGTAAGTCCTGTGGCAAATTCAAAATCCACAAATTTTAAATACTAGTTTCGTCTATGTTTGTAATCGAGTTTCTTGGAATAAAAAGATGCTAACAAGTAGGGGCGGGGCTAGAGTTTCGACACCGGATTCGGCCGAACTCAATAACTTTAGTCCAAATTATAGTCTTAAAAAATTCATTGAATATTACAAATTCTTATTTTAGAACCGACTAACATAAAAAGATAAAAATCCTAAATCCTGTAACTTCAAATTCTGGCTCCGCTTCTGCAAACAACGGTGTCACTATTGAGTAGCTATCCCAAATTAACTCTTATATATGTTACTTTCGGATAGGCATATTACAAATTTGTAGTCCTTCTCAATATTCAAACCTTTTCAAATGTCCGTTCCGTATTGGAAAGGACAAATTTTCCAAAATTAAACTTTTCTTCTAGCAAATATTGCCTAAAATAAATAATTGCATGCAATTAGCATCTATACTTTTGATATATTCAAAACGTGATTTGAAATTGTTTATACCACATTACTATATCTTGTTTCGATTTTTTAGTATGTAAAATAAAATTGTTCCAAACGTGGTACTCTGAAGCAATTTTTTAATAAATTAGTTTCATTATTACGAGTTCTAATAAAGCAAAAAAAAAAATGCATAAATATATAAACTTCTTCATTTATCAATATATGGTCCCGCTTATCAATATATGGTCCCGATAAGAGGGGTTGCTCTAATGGTAAGCAACCCCCACTTCCAACCGAGAGGTTGTGAGTTCGAGTCTTCCCAAGAGCAAGGTGGGAAGTTTTTGGAGGGAAGGATGCCGGGGGTCTATTTGGAAACAATATTCATGTTGTTTTCTTATTTATGGTCTTGTCTCCCTTAAACATCCATAGGTGTACTTTTATAACAATAACAACAAAAATTTCATTCTAATTTTGCAAATGGGATATGGGAAGGCGCAAAGATATGTGTGGCCAAAGGTGGTCAGCCGAAAATCATTCGAGGAAAAAATTATATTGCGTATAAGATAAAATATTAATTATTATTACTAAAAAAAATAGAATTTGAACACCCTTGCATAGCCCACTGGCAAAGGGTGTTCAAAATTTGAACCCTTATTGATTTTTCCGGCTTCGTCACTGGGTATGGGGAATGTATTGTATACACAACCTTATCCTTACCTTGAGAAGGTAGAGAGGTTGTTCCGATAGATTCGGATCAAGTAAAGAAGAAAAGAAGTAATAAACAACAAGCAGTAACAACAGTAAAATACCAAAGTGAAAGAAACAATAAGTAATAATAGAAATATAAGAATAAGAAAATACAAGACTAACGCTAATATTACCGCTGGTATTTTTATTAAATTGATATTATCATGAAGAAATAGAAAGAAAGAAACTAAGACATCAAATCTTATAAGATCACATTGCTTTTGGCAGATTGCCATCAACTCCATCAAAGGTCCCCTTACAAACTCCACCACAAGATCATACATTTTTTTGTTTTTGGTCTTTTATTTTGTTTTTAATTTTCTGCAATATGTTATGTATGAAAATGTACTTTTTCAGATATATTTTGCTCTCCCAAACTGAATTCAGGACCTTGAAATCATTTCCAAAAAACAGAAGCGGAGTTAGAATTTGAAATTATCTTAACCTAAATAAACGTACTTTTCGCACTTAAGTATTCCTTACAAATTAGAGATTTAGGTAAAAACTGCATGCTTAATACATACATGAAACAGAAAATTATATTATGTATATATACAATAGCCGGACATAACATAAAATAAATTTCAATTAAAAATATAATTAGTAAGTAAAGTCTATTCTCATATATTCATGATCTTAGATTTTTATTATTACCTAGTATTTTTCTTACTTCGATTTTATTATTATGTTGTTGTTATTATCGCTTCTTTTCTCGTGGCTTCTTTACTATTGTATTTTCTTTTCATTATTGCTGAGTTTATGCGTTCTTGAACCGAGGGTCTACGGAAACAGTTTCTCCACCTACACAAAATAGGGCCGTAGGGATAAGATTTGCGTATGCATTACCCTTACAAATTATACTTATGGGATTATACTGAATTTTTGTTCACGGCGCGTATCAAAATTAGAACAAAAACAACATGAAGTTAAAAAATGTAGCCCTTGGACCAAAATAGAAGAAGGGATGACTAAATTGTTCAATCAAAGATCGATTCAAGGGGTCACTATTTTTCTAATCTTTTTTTATGTAGATGAGTTGTCAATTCTTCTTGGAATATTTTTGAAAAAGGTATATTTTGGACCCAAGCCACTATGGTCGGTTTGAAATATTTATCATTTTCTAAACTTTGAAACCGACCATTTTTGTCTTGTCATTTACAGACCTTTTTGCCACTCTAAATTGTTTGTCATTACTAAACCCGGGTCGCTCGGATTTCACGAGTGAATCGAAAGTTAAATCTACGTGGGATTTCACCAGAATCGCTTTAGCTATCCTCTTTGTCTGGTTTTAAATTTCAGTTCGACTAGGAAGAGTGCGCCACGTTAATGTATTTTCAATATCAATACTCAAAATTGAGTGTCGATGGGCGATGAGCACATTGAACTATCCATATGGCTAACCAGTTCTAGTGGCTACTCACTTTTTCTTACAATATTAATAATTGATTTGATTAGTACTTAACTTGTTGCAGCAAATTAGATTAGATTGAAGTCATTAATATTCATTAAAAACTATTACACCGACTTAGAAAATAAGTTAAATGAATACAAGTTATATACATATTATGCTTAACCAAATAGTTAAATGATACTATGTATTTTCACTTTGAATTTTACGATTTAATAAGAGTTAAATTACTTCGTTTAGTGTAAATACCGAGTACAACTGAACTTTTAACTAAACAGTAAGTGTTTATAGAATGATGAGGCAAAAAAGGTAGAATGTGGACACCGATATATACAACTTTTCAAACATTATTCCCTTAAGGGTTAATTGGCAATTAGTGTAGAAATTAGAAGATCAGATAGCCAACTAATGACAAATTGTTTCCACCCGATGTTCGGTATCCATTTTGGAGTCCGACTAAACTGAAATCATACTGAAAATTCTACTTTAAATGGTAAAGTGTTGCCTACCCGGGGCGGCTCGATATTCAGGTCTCGAATTTGAGACTTCTGATTAAAAAATATGGAAGAGTACTTACTGTTCCACCATAACTTTTAGTGACAACTAACCACAAATTGCATTGTCATTAATTTTTGGTCTTAAACTCTAAAATAATACTACTACTTTTATTTTTTCACTTGATAATTTGATGAGCTTGAAATACCAGTAAATAAAAAGGATGAAAAGAAAAATAAATAAAAGAAGAGCTCAGAAGCACAGATTTTCATCCCATATCAGAAAGTTGTGAAGACCCAAGTATCACAGTATGTTCAATAATATCACAGCTCAGAGTGCACCAGCCGGGAATCGAACCCGGGTCTGTACCGTGGCAGGGTACTATTCTACCACTAGACCACTGGTGCTTTGTTGTCCTATGATAACATTAAACTCATTTAGTTAGTTATTTCTTTTGAACTTGAAGACATAAATACTATAAACTCCGAAGCAAGCGGGCTTCGCCAGGAGTAGCCTCCTGAGTTAGCCGGCTAGCTTCTTTCTGGCTAAGGTCAAACAATTTTTTGACCCGTCCAATATAATCCACAGAAATGGCTTACACAAATGACTAATGAATGGATCCCTTCAAGCACATCGGTACATATCTATCTGTATCGGGTGTTTATACCAAACCAATAAATATATGATACATATCTTCACAAATATAAGTATCACTAAATCATAATTAATTAATACATATACTCACTTAATTTATTATTTAACCATAGTAAGTTAGTAGATATTGATATAAATATCTTGTGCATATAAGTTTTTACCAAAGACATCCAATAGAATAATGAAATAATCAGTAGGAGTACCAGATTTTAAAAAAATCCCTGAAATTGCATTTTCAGCTTTAAACTAAAGCAATCCAATAAAAAAATATCTTCCCTTGCATTACAGGATAATCCAGTTTGCTAAAACAATATCTCATCCTCTTTGAGTGATATGTACAGTACAAAAACAAAACCAAAAAAAAGTGGAGTTAAAAAGAAAAGCTGCTAGTTTCAGCCTTGCAAGTTCATTTAGCATCCTTGTACATGGTTTCAATCACATCCTGCACAAAGTAAAAAATGAAATCAGACAATAACATATAAACAAACAACAGAATTATCACAGGATTTAACTTATATATACAATTGCAGGAAGGGATCCTTGGAGTAACGGTAAGTTGTCTTCATGTGACCATAGGTCACGGGTTCGAGCCATAGAAATAGCTATTAATTACTTAATGCTTGCATTTGGGTAGGTTGTCTACATCATATCCCTGGGTGTACGGTCCTTCTACAGACCCTGAGTGAATGCGCGATTCTTTGTGCATTGGACTACCACATTTTTATAATTGCACTATCCAGTGGCGGAGCCACCCTTATCCAAGGGGTGGCCGCCAGAGAATTACACATATGTAGCTAGGTAAATCTTTATTTTTTTTGTGTATATATACTATATGGCGAATTCCCCTTACTTCTTCATGTGTTTACTTTTTTGTATTTTGATTTCCTTTAGTGAAAAATCCTTGACTCCGACACCTGCACTATCATTGTAATTTAACATGTTGTAGTAGATTGCCTGCTTTTTCTTCGAGTTAACTAATATCACAATATGGGGCAGCTAACATTAATTATCTTTTAGCCAATCTGATGGTGTTCAAATTCTTTTACATAGTCAAATTATAGAAGTTGAGCTCATTATCAAATTTGCAGAGTGCCAACAGTAGGTGCAAATGAAGCTCCATTGAGCAAAATGCATAAACACATTGCACATAAAAGGACTCAAAGTTGACAGATTGTAACATGGAAAATGCTAAGAACAGTCTTTGGTTGTTCCATGTCAACTACAGGTTAAAGTTACTGAAGTTTCTTTCCTTTTTAAAACCTGAGCCGAAGAACACAAAATATATCCTTGTTCATATGTCTACTCCTTTTCCTAATTCCATTAAGATTATATTATTAGCTACGCGGAGGAGCATGCAACGGTATACAAAGGCCCTATGAAGACCTGGATGTTGAAAAGAGTAATCATTCTTCTTGGACGCGACAGAACAAATAAAATCACAGCAAAACAAAGAGGAAATGGAAATATTTGCACATGGACCAATCTTCACATTAACATTTACCAGGAGATTAAAGAGAATTTACCTTGTAGTATTTGAGTAACTGTGGTCTTTTCTTCTTAAATGTTGGAGTCAGAAGGTCGCGTTCCATGTCAAATGGCACCGGATCAAGGTGTAGAGCTTTTATGAACTCAAAGCCCTTCAGCTGCAAAGAAAAAAAAAAGGCATATTCACATATCCTTTTCTGCAAAGGCAACCCGAGCACCTTTCACTATGCAACGCCCTGTGATGAGAACTAACCTTCTTCTCTTTTGCAGCTTTTGTGAGCTCCCCTAGTATGTGTTCTTTCACCTTTGGATTTTCACATAGGGAATTAAAATCCCCAGAGAGGCCATTCTGTTTAGCCCATTTTTCAACCTCTTGTTTGTTTGGGTTAACAACAGCAACAAGGAAAGACTCATAGCTGCTTCCATATATCCATATCTAGAGCCAATCAAGAAAAAAGAAAAATCAGCATCGTAAAGTCTAAAATGGTTAGCTGTGTTACTAGTAGGCAGAAGATGCAGCACGGGCTGATGAGGCTCATCGAACTCGACTTATTAGAGATAATGATGGCTTTAATCTCTAAAGAGCATAAATAAAAACTAGATTTACCAATATACTCTATTCTATATGAATATTCATTACATTATGCAGAATACATTTTATCAACACTGTGTGGTGGCTTAACACTTATACAATATGCTCTATTCTATATTAATAGTCATTTCATTATGCCCAACCGGAATACTAACTCTTAGAATATCATGTTGCCAAGATTGGCAAAGCTAAGAGAATTTTACAGAAAGCAGTGGCATTAAGTTTGACTCAGGAGACAATTTATCAGCTTTTAGGATTAAATATTGCTGCCTATACGAATAATGCTTCTTTCTTTTAACAGTCCACACAGATATATCATAGGCAGTGAACATAGCAGATGAAAATGTTCTACCTTATTTGTTCAAAATAAATTGCACATATGAAATCACCAAATTGCTATTATTTGTTCAGAAAATAAATTGCACATATGAAATCACCAAATTGCTATAGTTAAGAGGTCAATGTATCTAAGGGGATCACTTACCGAGTCAATAACAGGATTATTGCCATATATATTCTCCAAATTTTCGACTGCAACATATTCACCTTGTGATAGCTTGAAAATGTTCTTCTTGCGATCAATTATCTTCAAGCTACCATTTGGTTGCCACTCACCAATATCCCCTGAAAAAGGTTTTTTGGAGATGAATCCAATTAAAGCTTTTTAACGAGTGGGACATTTATCAGCACAAGTGAAAAAAAGAAAGCAGAAAAACCTGTGTGAAACCACCCATCAATCATGACTTCTTTCGTGAGGTCCTCACGCTTGTAATAACCAGAAAACACAGTGTCACCCCTCACGCATATTTCTCCACGTGGCGTGCTTGAAAGAGCGTCATATTCCATTTCAGGAACGGACTCCAAACACACATCCACATTGGGCACAGGAGGACCAACCGTACCAAGCATATCAAATTGGTTGGGTAGTGATACAAATGTACCAGCACAAGTTTCAGTCAGACCTAAAAGTAAATCCTGAATCATCAGCTTTGGCAAGAATACACAGTAGCAAATCATCAGGAAGGCCGATTCAATTACTTAAGCAATAAAAAGAAACCTATTTCAGCTGAAACCTAAACTACCAAGCCAGATCAGTTTCTGTAAAACTATAAATAGAAGTTCTCTGCCAAATAGTTCAAAAGATTTACCTATTTCAGCAATAGTCAACACTCAAACATAACAACTAAAATGATGTCGCTGACTAGTTCATAAACCATGAGATTTATCTTATCTTTTTTACAAACAATAAAATAAAAACAGATTAAGGCCATTGAGATTTTTCGGGGTGGAGCAAGACAATAAGCTTAACACCATCGATGGAATTAACATGAGAATTGAGATAAAATACCATATCCTTGAAGAACATGAGCACATGCTACAACTCGCAGAAAAGCTTCCACATGAGATGAGAGGGGTGCTGCTCCAGATAATATAAGACGCACTTTGCCTCCTAACCCATCTTTTACCTAAGTAATCAGCAAAAGCAATTAAAGTTACATATTTACTGGTACAAAGCAAAAAGAGAAGATATAGTAGCTTCTACTGGAGTATTTCCACCACCTTACTGAAAACAACTTTGTCGGAAATTGGAGATGCTTCGTGATATTTACACCCACTCTTCAAATATTGAAGTTTGCTGCAGAATTTCAAAAAAATGTAGGTATGATTATATAAGCTCCAACAGAAAATATCTCAAATAAGATCCAATATTCATTCTTAACCAAAAACTGAAACTAAATTTCTTCTCAACTATACAGAATCCAACAAATTGCAATTCTATGGAAAATCGAATACAAATGAAAAAGCTCGTGTTGACTTGCAGTAAGAATCTCAAAGTCTGGAAGTAGAAGAGAAGTGCTAGAATTGTACAAAAGTACAGGTGTAAATCCCAGAATGTGAAACACCCATATATTTTGGCCAGGTAAGTAAACATGGAATGGTCAAATATCAAAAGGCACTATCATCAGATGCATCTTTTTCCAACCACAGATACAGTACCTTTCTTGGCAGCAGATGGGATGATTAAATTTTTTCCATTCATTCCCATCCAATCAAAAAAGACGTTTTTTGAACATTTTTGCTTTTTTCGATCATCATAAAAACAATTGAAGCACCTTAGAAAGGCCAGAAGTCATAGCTTAAGACATTGATGTTTGCATCAACAAAAAGTTGTTATCTCCTAAATACTCTAACTGAAATGAGAAACATGGAACAGAACTTACCGAGCATATGCAATATTGAACAGTGTGCTCCTTAGCCGACCCCCTGAAGAAATTTTCTGTTGCAAACCTGAGAATGTTCATTGCAACTAGTCAAACGCACCGAGAATTTTAAGGCAGAAATGTACCAAGTCAAAAGTACACCAATAGAGAGAAGATAATTCCACAGTATTTATTTATTTAATGTCTACACACTTTCTGCAGTAAGTCACATCTAAACTGCAATGATACAGTAAGTCACATCTAAACTGCAATGATACTCCAGTTTCATGAGAAAGGGAGGTATATATTAGTGATTGGGAGAAAGAGTTTGATACTTTAGATGAATTAATATTAGGGAGCAGTAAGATATTACCTGAATATATTCTGTCTAATACCCGAGGTACTGCGCAGAAGACAGTTGGTTTCAGCTCTCCAATGTCTTCAGTTAGTAACTTGACATCCTGCAAACATGATAAGAAATGCATAAGATAAGCTCTGTCACCATTTTCATAGAAGATGTGGAGATCTTACCCCTCGCCAAAATCCAATTGAGGCGCCATGACTAATGAAACATTCTTCAATCACCCGATCAAAGATATGTGCCAAGGGAAGATATGAGAGATATACATCATTCACGTTCAACTGCAATACGAAAACGTTAGATCAAAGAAACACATTTTCAAAATGGAGACTACAACTCTGGCTATCCTTTACTTTGAAACACATGAAAATAAAAGACATATATCTCACCGCCTCATGTACACTCTCAAGAAAACACTTCACTCCAGCTATAAGAGTAACAATGCTATTATTCGAAATCATCACACCCTTGGGTTCTCCAGTTGTTCCACTAGTATACATTATTGTGCAAATATCAGTCTTCTTTTTCACTGGAAGATCATACTGATTTTTGCTTCCCTGCACATATTGAGAAGTGTGATGTTTAAAAATGAATATCGAAGTCATATAAGTGTGATGTCCAAAAAAGATAGGGAAGGGAAGGGGTGCATCAATCATTATATTCCAAAGAGAATATACTTGTCCTTTGAAAAGAGAAGTCTTACTAATTGTAGAAACTCATCCCAGGAAAAGAGAGCCGCTCCAAACTTTTCAACCTCTTCCTTTTGTTGAGGAGTGACTTCCCCGAAACTCACAACCGCTGGTGATTAAGAATAGGCCACAATTTCCCATTTAAGATGACATATTTCACACTTCTGAAAAATGAAACTAAATAACAATTGACTTACTCTTCAAGTACTTCGCTGCATTTGGAAATGTTTTCAAAAGCTGAAGAGGAATAAAAACACATTTTAGTAAGAACCACATCCCTGAATGTTCAAAAGCATAGCTCCAAATTCAAAATAAAAAGCTTCTGAGACAACAATCTTTCTTGAAACATTCTAGTCATTGTCCTGTTTATTTGAACACTTTATTTCTGAAAGCTATACTAATCCAAAGATCTACGAAAAATGATGTCCAAGTCTGAAATATTTATATCTTTTTAAAACAGCATAGAAGTTCAAGCAGATCATTCTTTGTCCTGCACAGGCGAGTTAATCTCACTTCCCAGTAGAAAGTCATGTATATGTAGCTTGGGGATCAACATGCTTATGGAATCCAAGACTTGATGTTTGAATAGTTAATATTAGACTATCTATTTAAAGTTGACCTCCTAGGATACTATGTCTATACCTCGGGAACCTTTTTCTCCTCAACAAAAGCAATTGAAACCTCAGCATGGGAAATGATAAATTCCACTGCACCAGCACCTGAAGACATAAAAAAGATTATCATTATATACTAGTTATTACATCAGCATGACAGAAAATAAAAAATAAATAGGCATATGACTGGTAAATGTGATAGCCTCTTGGTAGTCAAACTGCACATTCACGCATCTCATTTGAACGAGCCCAGAACATTTCTATTATTCATAAGAGTAACACCAAGGATGATTAAGTCTATTCACAAGGAAGAGCACAGAGACACTATTGTCACATAAGAAGAATGCATACCTAAAGTGTCGTACAGAGGGACACAGTAGAGTCCATGAGCATTGCATGCCTGCATGAATAAGTCAGAGTCAATAAGAATTACAGACAAGGTTTAATTTCTAACACCTATCCGAGCAAACAATAGATGTTATAACCAACAATAGCAGAAATAGTGAGCAGCGAAGATAGGAACCCAGAAAGATTGAAAGTGGACTTGGAAATAAGAACAGTAAGAGAAGCATCCTGTAATCAAAGGCAAGTGTTCATTCAAAAGAGCTTAGGATTTAAAGCAAAAAGGAAAAAAGAATGACTTTGACATTCAGATGCCAAATATTTTCACGAGCATCTTCAGAATCGAAAAGATAGCCAGCTGAACACTGGTTAATAAATGTACAATCCAAAGGTTGTCATGCTATATGGGGAGTGTTGGCCAATTAAGAATTCACATGTGCAGAAGATGAAAGTAGCAGAAATGAGGATGTTGAGATGGATGAGTGGGTATACCAGGAGAGATAAGATTAGGAATGAAGCTATTCAGGACAAAGTGGGAGTGACCTCCGTGGAGGACAAGATGCGGGAGTCGAGGCTGAGATGGTTCGGGCACGTAAAGAGGAGAAGCATTGATGCTTTGAGATGTGAGAGGCTGGACATGGCGTGTTTGAGAAGAGGCCGAGGTAGACCAAGGAAGTATTGGGGAGAGGTGATTAGGTATGATATTATGCGGCTTCAGCTTACTGAGGATATGACCCTTGATAGAAAGGTATGGAGGTCGAGGATTAGGGTAAAAGGTTAGTAGGTAGTTGTAAGTTTCTCCTTTTCTTACCAGTTACTTTAGTAGCACTCGGGTTCCTGCATATTCTTAAGTAGATCGTTACTTTGTCATGTGATTTAGTTCGCTTTTGTTATCGTATTTCCTATTGTTAGAGTTTAGTACTACTAATTCTCCCCCCCCCCCCCCCTTCCCTTTTCTCTCTCTTCTTCTTCTTCCCCCTTTTCTTCTTCCTCTTCGTCTCACTCTTTCTAAGCCGAAGTCTATTGGAAACAGCCTTTCTACCTTTACTAGATAGGGATAAGGTCTGCGTACGCACTGCCTTCCCCAGACCCCACTTGTGGGAATACACTAGGTTTGTTGTTGTTGTTATAATATAGATAGATGTCCATGTGTAAGCATTAATTTATAAAAACAACAGTTTTACCAATAAAACATGACCAAGAAGAACACTAATAGAAGTTTTCTCTCACAGATGTACATTCTCAATGTAGACAACTAGGAAAAAAGAAAAAATCAAAAAGAAGAAGAAGAACATGAATCGCTTCATACACAAAATAAACAACAGAAAGGGTCAATACCTCCATGCTTATAATCCACTCAGGGCAGTTGGCACCATAAATACCACATTTTCCTCCCTAAATCAGAAGTCAAATTGACAGGAGATAAGGGAACTGATTGAAAGTATGAACAATCAAGGGATGAACAAAACTAAACAGGCTACAGAAATCGATAAGTGGAACTATCAAAAATAAACAGAGGATAAAGAGAGTTGGAAACTTACTTGTTCCACACCACAGTTCCGGATGGCATTTCCTACTTTTATGACAATGTCATATACTTCTTTGTAAGTCATCCACACATACTTTCCAGGCTGAAAATACGAGCAACAATTACAAGAATCAGCTAACATGAATTCAGAAAACTAAATTCTTTTGAAAGTAGGAGTTAAAACTAATGTGTAGTAAAACATACCTTTCCATCCACAAACTTACGACGGCCAAGCATTCGGTTGTTGGGATATTTCTCCACTGACATACTGTGATATAGACAAGAAAACATCTATAAATTCCAACATTACACAGTAAACTTTTACAAGCATCATCAATCTGGAAACTACTCATTCCTCACCAAACATAAAATAAACACTTCCTCTGGCTCAGTTTATATGACACTCTTTCTACTCACGGATGTATGTTCCAAAGTGTTTGACGTCCTTCCATTTTATAGAACTTTCACAATTTCAAGAATTGAAATCATTATACTAATCGAATTCTCATTTTTTTCTTGTGATATTTTCTCTATCAAATAACTAGTCAACTACTACTATTTTAATACTCCTATTTACTTTCACTATACGAATATAATATATACGTCAAAGTGACATCTCAAATTCCACATCCACTTAGTATATAAAATAAAATGGTGATTACATAATTAAGTACAAAAAAACTCAAAAATCAATCTGGGAACTACACTAATCAAATGTATAAAACTAAAAGACTACACCTTTTGTTGCGAACTGATAAAATAATTTCAAACGTAGATATTAAAATTTAGTCAATCAAATCATAACATGAAATCCACAGCAGTTTAATCAAAATTTTGCAGAAAATTATCATTTTTGGAAAAATACGGTTTTGTTACCGGAAAATATCCCAACAGCTATCTAAGCCTTCGACCGGAGGTGGAAACCCGTCCTTAGCGAATAAACTCCGATAAACCGGTCCGACTGACGGTTTTCCATCTTTGGCTGGCTTCGCCGGTTCAACCTCAATTATAAACCTCTCCCCCATCTCCGATCCCTCAATAATTCTCACAAACTGTCAAATATATATAGCTTTTCACATGCAATTCCTCCAATAAATAGAAGAAGATTGCAAAATGTAGGTGCACGGATTAATTAAAACATATACAAATTTTAATAAATTTGTGTCAAATTTGTGAGGATTTTGGCGAAATGAGATTGTTTTTTACGTGAAAATGTAGCTGTTTCAATGGAGAAAGGGAAGTTTCGAGCCGGAAAAAGGATTCTGTTATCAGAATTACGGGTCTCACGGAAAGTTTTTCAGTATTTTGTGCGATATATATAACTGTATGTACAGTATATATTCCTCCCATGCAGTTTTAAATTTAATATTTGACGTACCAAATTATTAAAGTTACCTAAGTTTTTAAGTAATATATGCCCAGTGACACTTATTATAACTTGGGGAGTCAAAGAGGTTTTTTTATTAATTAATACCATTTTTTAAAATTTTTGTCTAAATGTTTTGAATTGATAATTATATATCGCGATGTATGATTCTTCTCAATTATAGCCGTTTCAAATTTGTACTACCTCCCAACATATTTCATCCACGTCAAAGTGCGCACTCGAAGAGTTTGAGTGCGCACTTTGACGCACCAATAACAACAACAACAACAACCTAGTATAATCCCACTTAGTGGGGTCTGGGAAGGGTAGTGTGTACGCAGACCTTACCCCTACCCTAGGGTAGAAAGCCTGTTTCCAAATAGACCTCCGGCATTCTTCCCTCCAAGAACTTCTCACCTTGCTCTTGGGGAGACTCGAACTCACAACCTCTCGGTTGGAAGTGGGGGTTGCTTGCCTATAACGGAGCTATAATATAGCTAGTGGGTGCTCAAGCACCCATTATATCTTACCTAAATGCTATATTTTTATAATGTAATAGTAGGGCAGTCCGGTACATTAAGTTTTCGCTATGCGCAGGGTACAAAGAAAGGCCGGACCGTAAAGGTTTATTGTACACAGGAAGCTACTAATAATATACAAAAGATATATTAGCCGAGCACCCAATTCCAACATAGCATTTTGAGATTTAAGACAGTTGAGCACTCATGACTTAAAAATTCTAGATCCGCCACTAGTACACGCATTAGCTCCGGTGAGAGGCAATTTTGATCATTAGGCTCAAGAGGAACAGCCAAATTTACCAGTTGGGATAGACTCCCAATAGTAGCATTCATCAACATAAATGAAAAGAAAGACTAAAGGAGAAAAATAATTACAGAAAACAAAGAATTGACACAACATATGGGGGTGATCATACTCCAAGTTATCCCTTAATGAGCATAATTAACTTTGAGTATTAGTGATTTAACAAAACCAATCGTTGTTTTAGCCTTAATGGGTCTTTATAGGTCTGTATAATTAAAATTTATAACAAAGACTTAATTTCATTAAGATGCTTTCATATTCATTATTAACTGCCGCCACCACCTACCATTATCAACTACCACTACCACCACCCCTACTACCACCACGCCACCATCATCCTCAATCATAACAGCCGCCATGATCGGCCATCACCACCATCATTCACACGCACAATCAACACTCATCCACCTCAACTACCACAACTAATCAGCTCATCACCATCAACAACCACAGACGGCACTGCTCATAATTATAACCTACCACCACCTTCCTCTGTCACACTACTACCACCACCCGTCATTATTAACTATCACCACTCACCATCATCATCCTCAATCATAATCGCCACCACTACCAATCACTACTAGCTACTAGCATGAACCACCATCATCAACCAAAACTACCACCAACTACCGCCTCTAGTCGGCATTCACTCGTTCGCCATCACCACTAACAACTATCATATTTTAAAAAATTATATATTTTAATGATAGAATATTACATTAGTTGGTATTTCATTTGAATTTTATGTTTATTAATTTTCAAATGAAGATAAATTTTATACATTCAGATGTTAAAAATCAAACAGTCTTAATTATTTAGTATTCAGATCTTAATACACATCTTAAGATATTCAGATGTGTATTCAAATTCAGATGTCTTAATCTTAATACACTTCTTGATATTCAGATTCAGACGTCTTAATCTTTAGAAAAACAAATGTATTGAATGTTGATATACTAGTGATAGTTAAAACCATTATCATCCTTGCTTTTGTCAATAAAGGAAATGTACCATATGATGACTTCTATTACTGCTAGAAAGTGCAATTTATCACCAAGAAGCAAACTCAATAGCATAAACAAGTTTCAATAGACTAGTGAAAAATAATTATAACTTGTGGTTGCAAGTCATAATTGATTTGCTTATTACAGCAAACTACTGACATCTAGTGCTGCAGTATTCTGGTCATCGTTACAAAATTTCTCGACTATAATCTTTTCTCGAATGCCTATATTCGTATGAAAAATGAGAAGAAAAAAAACAAAATAAGAAAAAATCCACTTAGTATCTCTATGACGTACTTTGAAATAAATTACATACTCTGCTCCCTCCCCTACCCTATAATTCTCAAGAATCATAAACTAAGTGAAAAATAAGCTTATGTTCCAATTATTTCAATGGTGTATAAGCGCGACTAATAACCTATAACTAGCCATCTGCTACATCAAATTTTGTCCTTCAATCAACGACGTTCATCGTCTCTTCTTGTTCTTTCTTCTTTTTACTTGTTTCTCTAAACGTTCGATCCTTTGACCAAGAACAGAAGACGACGATGATGATGATGATGATAGACTTTGACTTGTGGGTTTTGATGCCTCGGGAAGTGATGATTGAGCGTGCTTTTGTGCTACTAAGTGCTCTTGTGCTGCAGCAAATTTCTTGAGAGTATCGAAAAACGAGAGTCCCGGTTTTTGTTCAGATGGAGGACTTACAGGTACTATAGGAACGCGCAGTAACTTCTTAACTGCAGGATTTTTAATCACTGGCACACAAAGAAGACACAAGATGAAAAGTGGAAACATGTTAACGCATGAATGCTTGTGCAGGAAATGAACCACAATACTAACCTAATCCGTAGGAGAGTGAAAAAAGATTTGAGGTCATCCAATAACAGAATACTGCCTGCGAAGGAAAAAAAAACAACCACCAGTGATCGACATAGCACTACAACAAATGAAAGAATAACCAACCAAGAACTCAAATCAACTCCAAGCAAAAGCACATACCACGAGCGCATAGCATTTACAAGGATTACAAAGCACATAAAGGCTAACTATAGGTTCACAGAGGCGCGGAGCCAGAAGCTCGGCTACGTGTTCAATCGAACCTAGTAGCTTTTGCTTAAACAGTGCATTTGTATTAAGAAATTCATTAAATATGTACAAATTTTAAATTTAGAACCCAGTTATTAGCACTTGAAGTTGTCGTTCCAAAATTCAGAATCCATAAAGTTGAAATTCTAGCTCCGCCTCTGGGTTCACATGGTCCAACACGAACAACAATTGTGTTAAACATGATAGACACCCAAAATAAATTAGCCGTGTCTCGATTGTGACTTTTGACATGCAAAACGCTTATGATACGATCATTTAACACCTTCTAGAAGAGAGAGCCAGCTGATAAAGGAAGAACCTTTGGGTGCACCAATCCCATATTCTAATACCTTGTGTAAGGTAAATATAGTGAAGTTATCTTTGAGCAATTGAGAAGTTAAGAATGCTTATAACTTGACCTATAAAAAAGGGCAGCCCGGTGCACTAAACTCTCCCTATACGCGGGGTTTAGCGAAGGGTCGGACCACGAGGGTCAATTGTAGGCAGTCTTACCTTGCATTTCTGCCAGAGGTTGTTTCCACGGCTCGAACCCGTGACCTCCTGATTAAAGAGAACTAAATGCCGCCATGCTTCTCTTAAGCACGAAAGTTATGAAAGAAATGTTTAAGGATATCTTCAATCAAAAACCAAAAAGATAATGCATGTATTCAATCAGGAAACCCAGAAAAAAGAAGATGATAACAGTTAGACACAAGGCCAATTTGAAGTGAAAGCACATCATGTACTTTGATGTAGAAAAGTTCTACCTCAGATTCTTCACAACGTAAATAGAAAAGGATAGATACATGCTAAATCATTATGCAAGAGTTGGTTTGGATTATGTACCTTAGGAAAACCAGCAGTAAATGGGATAGTTAACGCAGCAAAGGCTCGTGAGACATTTTTTATAGTTTTAGCATGAGCATTTCCTTCCATTCCTTCTTGAGCATTGCACTGAGAAAGAACAAACTCCGGTTAACAAAAATTGTCAGAAATTACATTGGTGTGAAGATATCTAGATAGAGACAGCAGGATTTGTTGGAGAATATTAAAAGGTATAGTAGATGAAGGCACCATACACCGAAATGAACAAAAGGACAACTCACCTCCACCGTTATCCAGAATGTTAATGCAGTCAAAACAGGGAAGATGTACATACTATCTGGAGTAGTTAGATCAGTAAACCAAAGCACTCCTCCCTGTTTGAAAGAAGGGACTTTTTCCACCATGTTTGAAATCTGCATTTTAGGCGATAAATTTTACTTTTTAGCAATGAATATGGTACGGGGAGGGGGGAAAAGGACATTATAGATAGCAGAAAGAGGATAAACTTACAGCCATAAAGAAACTGACAAAGATTGGCCCCTGTATTAGAATTCCTTTTAAGGGAGTGAAGGGTGAAACTCCATATCTGCAAGAATGTCATAGAGTGAAAAGACATCCATCATATCGAAACATTTCAGTAAATTATGAGTCCAATTATATGTTGAGCATACATAAGATAATTAAGGACTCCAATGAAACGGTGGATTTGCATTTTAGCTCTTCCCCAAACAAGTCATACATATGATTTAATGAGAAGTTGCTTACTCCTTCATTGCTGCTTTCATTTTTTCTTGACCTTCAGCGACAGCTGCCGGAGCCATACCCTAGTAAAAAGGTAAGAAGTTTAACCAGGTAATTCTTGCACACTAGCTTAATTAGAAGAAAAAATATCATGAGCGTTTTATATAGTTTGTCACACACAGTGGAACTTGTCACAACAGTGGCGGAGCCACGTTTAACTAAGGGGTGCAACTGACACCCCTTAGCCGGAAAATTGCACTGTATTGCTAGGTAAAAGATATTGTTTTTATGCATGTATATACTATATGTTGAATCACCTTGGCTTTTCCGTGTGTTTAATTCTTTATTTTTTAACACCCCTCAGTGAAAATTCTGGCTCCACCGTTGGTCACAAAGAGTGCTGAGATAGAGAACTAAACT